GGAAGGGGAAAGGCGGGAAAGATGAGGGAAGGGGAAAGGCGGGAAAGATGAGGGAAGGGGAATTCAAGAATCATTGTAGCCATAACCCAGAAAAGGGCCAACCCCGTTCAATCCCAGTCAGCCACAGTCAACCCCATTCAGCCCCATTCAACCTCAGACAACTGGCAGACGACAACATACAAACCCAGTCAAACCCAGTTAACTGCTATCAGCCCCAGTCAGCGCCAGTCAACGCCAGTCAACTACACTCACACTTTCTTGCCCTCCACGAGCATGCCGTTGACCTTCTCAATGGCCAGGTTGGCCGCCTCCTCCGTCTCGAAGTGCACGAAGCCGTACCCCTTGCTCTTGCCCTCGGGCGTCACGGCGATCTTGCACGACCAGATGGGGCCGAACGCGCTGAACGTGTCGTGCAGCGCCTTGTGGTCGATCGACTCGTCCAGGTTCTGAGGGGTGGGGAGAGGTGGTGGGGGAGAAGGAGGGGCGGAGAGGGAGGAAGCGGGGAAGGAGCGGGAGGAGACGTTGGTTTGGCCCCCATTCGCGCCTTCGATAGACCAGATGGGGCCGAACGCGCTGAACGTGTCGCGCAGCGCCTTGTGGTCGATCGACTCGTCCAGGTTCTGACGGAGAGTGGGGAGCGCAGGGGGAAGAAACAGGAGGTCGAGAGGAGTGGGGGGGGGGGGGGGGGGGGGGGGGGGGGCGCAGGGGAAGAGAGAGGGGAGGGGAAAAAAACACAGGGAGGAAGCGGGGAGGGAGCGGTGGGGGCAGGGTGGGGGCAGGGTGGGAGCGGGTACGGAGAGAGGGGAGCGGGCGGATAAGGGACAAAAGTGTCACCACTCGCACCAGCTGCGTTGATTGGAACCCATCCGCACCATGATAAGCCCGTTCCAGACGCCACTGCGGCGATAACTCAAGGGAGACTCAAGCCCATTGGCGAAACCCCAGGTCATTGACGAAAATGTTACCGAGTTTCTTTCGCGAAACCGTTTCGCACCTTGATGAAGATGTTCCCGACGCCGCTGCGGCGGTGACTGGGGTCGCGGTGGGACCACATGATGCGGATGGGCCGCCCGTTCACCTCGCGGTAGTTCAGCGCCTCCATTGCACGCTCCGCTGCGCGGGGAGAAAAGGGGGAGAGCGGGGGAGGGCGCGGAGAGAGGAAGAGGTGGGAGGGGAAGTGTTGAGAGAAGGGGAAGGGGAACATTGGACACGAGAAGCACCAATCCTTCATCGCGGTAAATGAGTGCGCTCATGGCGCAACGCTGGCCGTCTAGAACGCAAGGCCTATGACCGTCGATAGCGCACTTAGCCGCGGAGGGAGTAGTGAAAGGTAATCGGGGACCGATGGGACGAAATAGGCGAATGGAGGGTGAAGCGAAAGATAGACTGAAAGCCGGAAAGTAGTAGTGCCTTTTGCGAATTTTCAAAGGCTTATGAAGGTTGAATTCCCAAAATAGACTGAAAGCCGGAAAGTAAAAGTAGTGTTTTTTGCAAATTCTCTAAAGCCCATGAAGGGTGAAATCCAAAAGCAGACTGAAAGCCTGGGGGAAGAAGTGGTGCCTTACCCGCATGCTCTGTTGTACGCAACGATCCACGGGAGCAACGAAGCGGCAATATCGGGGGCGAGTTTCACGCGGATATGCCAGGCCAGGCAGGACACGCAGGCGGGCGGGAGGGAGGGGGGGAGAAAAAAACGTAGGGTATGGGACAGGGTGGTGGCGCAGAGCGGAGACATTAGACGTGGAAGAGAAGGCGGACGCGAACGAGTAGGGTGAAGAATTTAACCTGCGAAGACATTGCAACGAGATCGCACGTCAGCCTGAACACGCTCGGCCGGAGATGGGCCATATCCTTCACATGGCTCAGATCACATATGTAATTTGCTGTTTCATGACTACTCTTGACGGTCGTGTAAAACGCAATTCTAATTTCGCGCTCCGAACGAAAGACGTTGACGAAAGACTATTAGATAAAACGTGATTGAGCTATTTGATCAGCCTGCGTAATCATGACCATCAGAACGAGGGGGAAGGAACTGACGGACAAGGGACGGTCAACTGACGGATAGAAAAGTAGCATAACCATCCATGTGCAGTACGAAATCATTCATAAGCTGATCAGGCGAATCCAGTAAGCTGATCTGAAGCTCCTTCAAACACCATCGGTGTGCAGTACGGCTTGCTATAGCTACCAGCAACGAGTCGCCGGAAACTTGTGCTGACGACAGAGTACTGCCGGCAGATCGTTATCTCGCGCTAGCATCTGCACATCGCCGGGAAAAGAAGACGCGTGCGCCTACTCGCATAAGCGTGCTATCAGGAAGTAAAGCTATGGAGAGAACCCTCACACGATTTTCTAATCAAACCGAAATGAACACGTGTACAATCGGTGAATGCGCCTGCAATCTACTCGAATAAGCGCGCTATCAACGAGAACCATTGAGGGAAGCGAGAAAGGGGTTTAACAGTCCACGGCACTGTTGTAAATGTCTTAGGCAATTTAAAAGCACTACGAAATGGAAGCCAGGAAAAGAAAGGACCAATTTTCCGGACAAAGGGAAAACGGGGATGATAGGAAGAGAACTGACCGTCGACGGCACTGTTGTAGTTGACGTAGGCGTAGCCGAGCGAGCGGCGCGTGACGGCGTCGCGGCAGACGCGGATGGACGCGACGGGGCCGACCTGGCTGAAGAGCTCGTACAGCTGCGCCTCCGTCACCTCCTTGTCCAGATCGCCCACGTAAAGCGACGCCGACGGCGCTGCGGCTCCCGCGGTAGCCATGGCTTCTCTAGAGATTAAGAGGGTAAAGAGGTTGAGAACGGTTCGACGAGAGGGAGACTTCGGGGAACCTGACTGCTCCAGGTAATTAGTGCTGCGAAATTGTTATTTCAGAGGTGTTGGCTCCGATGGGACTGATGCTTGATGACCTGATCTGCTCCGGCACAGAGTCGATACTGAACTAGGGCTGGGGAGAATTAAGCCCTAACGTCCGATCTAAGATCGGAAACCAAAAACCGCTACTGGGACCTCGCGAGTTTCTGGCCTAATTTTCTGGTTTTCTATATTTTTTTGTGGTTTTCTAGGTAGAACGAGGGACCTCGATGCGACTCTTTTTTTTTTTGGCTTTTCTAGTTTAAATCCCCGAGGGGAAGGGGAGAAGAGAGTCAGAGACTCATAGGAGGCAACAGAAGCAACCTGCAGGCATAGCCCAGGCAGGATGACGTTCCTCGGTGAAGCTAGGGTTCTGGTCGGGGTTTCCAGAAGGAAGGGAGAAGAGAGTGATGAGAGGGACCTCGGGACTATCTAAAGAGAGGGTGGAAAGGGAAGCGAAATTTTCCGTTTTGGGACTCTCCGTTACTGAGACACTATTCGTCGGACAAAGGCATTCCAGCAGTAGCGGATGCTGTGTGGTTATCGAGTGGACTTCTTCCGCGTCAGAATCTTCAATGATTCCGAGGTTGCTCACCCAGCCATGATTGGATGGTGGAGAAGACGAGAGCTGTATCTCCGTTTCAAACCTCTTCCCTACAGTCACTTCAAGAAGTTCGTTTCCAACCCATACAACAATGTTCAGGCGTGTGAGCTGCTAGCTAGTAAATCAAAGAAAGCGCTCCAAAATGCACAGCATCGTACAAAAACGTTTTACAATCCCTGGATGTTTTACAGACGAATCCCAACACATCGTACAAAAACGTTTCACAATACCACTCTTCGCCTTCAAGTTTACCGTTGGTTTTCGTGTGTCGTCTGCTGCTGGTAGAAGTCAAATAGCGACGGTCCCGATGCTTCACATAGCCGCTAGAGCTTGTTCATGAGCGACCCTACAAAAGCCAAGAAAAAGTCGTCCTTATATCACCGTAGCAGGTCAAAATGCACCTCTTTTAGTAGCTCCTGACAAGTCAATTCTCGTCTGTTTAGCTTCAATAGAGCCATCTTACCATCGTCCGTGATCGACAGTGCTTGTCTGATCGCTTTCTACTCGACTCAGAGGTCGTCAGTGTTCAGAAACGCTGTTGATCAACTCCAAACGTTTTGTTGCTTCGACTCAAAAGCACTTCTGGTAGGAGTGTAGCCTCGTTGGTTCGTTACGAACAAGGCTCTATGGCTCGTTAGGCCCGGTTCTCCACGGACGCTGCCTGTGAATGGATTATGATTTCCTGAATGAGCGAGAACTAGTACCGGCTTGCAATGAACAAGGCTTTCCTTCTTGCGCTTGCTCGGATTCACCGCGAGCGCTGGCTGTGAACGACTAGCTCCTGAGTCAGTGATAGCGAGTCCCCTCTTGCAATGAACAAGGCTTTCCTTGCGCTTGCTGCTCGGATTCACCGCGAGCGCTGGCTGTGAACGAGTATCTCCTGAGTCAGTGATAGCAAGTCCCCTCTCGCAATGAACAAGGCTTTCCTTCTCGCGCTCGCTCGGATTCTCCACGGCGGCTCGCTTCCCCTGCACAACGCCGCGCGCAAGCGGAAGACGAAGCTTCCTGGACGTTGCTTCTCTCCAATCCGCGTGCTGCAGCTGCTCCTGGTGCTGACGGTTGTCAGCGTGGCTCTACTGCTGCGCTCGGTTCAGCTGCAGCAGAAGAACGCAGAGGAGGTGAGGAGAGTGATAGGAATCTCAAAATGACTCCACTCGGACGTCTGGAGCGTGAGGGAAACGGAGAGAGTGGGGGAGTGGGGAGCATGGGGAGAATGGGAGAGTGGGGAGAGTGAAGAGCGTAGTTTGATAACCGTGCCACTTACGGTTTTCAGCGTGGCTCTGCTGCTACGATCGGTTCAGCTGCAGCAGAAGAACGCAGAGGAGGTGAGGAGAGGCAGCATTTGGCATTTGAGAAACGACCTTCCGGTACAGTTCCGTTCCCCTCCTCATACTTCCCCTCACCCATAACCCCCGTCTGCCTCCCCTCTTGATTCTTCCACACGCACTACCCTCTGTCGCTTCCCTCTGCTCCTCCTCTCCCCCCCTTTTCTTGCCCAGGCGGCCCCAAGGGGTTCATCTGGTACAATGGTTAAGTCTTTCAATGCAGCACCACCCTTTTTCAACCCCCCTTTCTTTCTCCCCACTTCACCCAGGCCGGCCCCAAGGGGTTCATCCGCTATAGTGCTTACCGCCTGGGCGGCAGCTCCTTCGCTGTGATTGGTCTGGGGGCGCTGCGCCTCCGCGCTCGCATTCGCTTCCCCAGGTGCTCGTGGCATGACAACGGGGCTGCCCCTGGGGATGCTGGCATTCCGGGAAACGTGGAGGTGTTTTATCCGGGGGAGCATCATGACTTGGAGTATGAAACGGTCGTGCTCAAGTGCTTTCTGAGAGCTGACACCCATGCTACGCAAGGGGGCAAACTGCTGCTCCAGGTGAGCTCGGTTGGGCATGGTTGAGCTGGGTTCAGATGGTTCAGGGAGCGTGGAGATGTTTTGCCCAGGGGAGTATCATGACTTGGAGTATGAAACGGTGGTGCTTGAATGCGTCTTGAGGGCTGACACTCATGCCTCGCAAGGGTGCAAGCTGCTGCTGCAGGTGGGTTGGGCTGGATTGGGATGGGTTAGGTTGGGCCAACAAACTGCCAATTTTCCTGGAGCCCCATTTCCCCTTAGAAGCATATCGGTGCCACTCGCCACAGCTTCTCCTCTCCCCTGCCCTGCCCTGTAATCACACCATCACACCAGGTGCAAGTGCAAGCCACATATGGGTCGCGGGTCATATCAGTCAACTCACAGCAGCTAGTCGCCTAAGCTTCTTCCCTCTCCTTCCCTGCCCTCCCTTGCATTAACACCACACCACACCACACCACACCACACCAGGTGCAAGTGCAAGCCACCCACGGGTCGCGGGTCCTATCAGTCAACACACAGCAGCTAATCGCCTACCATGAGCCGCCCAACGCCTTCCCTGTCTCCCTGGAGCCGCATCCCCCTTATAAGCACCGCGTGGCGTTCTGCTCCCCGCCAGTGCACTCGGAACTGGACGGGAGGAGGCTGTACGAGTGGTTGGAGTATCATTACCATCTGGGCGTGGATTACTCGATCATGTATGATGCAGGGGGCATTGACGATGAAGTTACCCAAGTGAGTGCTCTGCCTCATCACATAGGAGCAGTTTGGCATGGGAATATGGCAGTGGTAGGAGGAGGCTGTACGAGTGGTTGGAGTATCATTACCATCTGGGAGTGGGCTACTCGATCATGTATGATGCAGGGGGGATGGACGATGAAGTCACTCAGGTGCGCCAGGTGTCTGCTTGGGTGTGTATTTGGTTGTGACACGGTGGCATGTATGTATGGATGCAGGGCAGTCTGGCAGTGGTAAGAGTGGCTGGAGAGTATCATTACCATCTGGGCTTGGATTGCTCGATCATGTATGATGCAGGGGGGATCGATGACGAGGTCACTCAGGTGAGCCACATGTGTCCCTGGATGTATTCATGTGTGACATGGTGACATGGTGGCATGGTGGCATGGTGGCACGGCAGTTTGGCAGTGGTAAGACGAGGGGACTCGGAACTCACCACTGGACGGGAGGAGGTTGCACGAGTGGCTGGACTACCATTACCATCTGGGCGTGGATTACTCGATCATGTATGATGCAGAGGGGATCAACGACAAAGTCACTTGGGTGAGCCCATGGGGCCCCAGGTGGCATGTCAGGTGGCATGTCAGGTGGCATGGCAGTGGTAAGACGAGGTGACTCAGGTGTGTACCATCTTTCCGTGGGTGGGTGTGGTGTGGAGGTCAGAAGAACTCTTTTTGTCAATCTAGAAAAGGCACCTTGCCCTCTTCACTGTTCCCCTGGCAGGTGCTGATACCATACGAGCAGGAAGGCCTGCTGGAGGTCAGAGATATTGGGGACTTTCTGGAGTACGAAACGTGGCTCTATGCCCAGGTGCGTTCCCTGGAGTGTAGGGTTGGGTTGGGGTGAGGGTGAGGGTGAGGAGGAAGGTGAGGGTGAGTGGACTCATAACAAATGTGGAGGTCAGAGATATTGGGGATGTCCTGGAGTACGAAACGTGGCTCTATGCCCAGGTGCGTGTTGAAGGGGTGGTGGTGAGCATCAGCAGCAGGGGCAGGAGAGGCGCCAGAGGTGAGGTCAAAGAGGGAGAGACCGTCAGCCCTATCGCACTGTAGGAAGAGCTGCAGGTCATCTACCCAAACCTCAAAGTCAATGGCTCGACCCTCAGCGTCAAAAGCGAGAACACTAGGGGTAGCCATGACAGCAGTAGACTAGCAGGACAGTGACAGACGCGCTGCTCTCACCAGACAGGGCAGGTCGGGCAGCTCAGCAGTACAGCAACACAGCTGCTCGGACGGCACAGCAGCGACTGCGGCTCCGTGGTACCAGCGGCTCAGCTGCGCAGGCGGCTCGGGCGGCTCGGGCGGCTCGGGCGGCTCGGGCGGCTCGGGTGGCGCGGTCGGCTCGGGCGGCTCGGGCGGTCGGGCGGCTCGGGCGGCTCGGGCAGCTCAGGTGGCTCGGGCGTTCGGGCGGCTCGGGCTGCTCGGGCGGCTCGGGCGGCTCGGGCGGTCGGGCGATGCGAGCGGCTCGGGCGGCTCGGGTGGCGCGGCCGCAGTGGAAGGGCGGTGGGGCCGCGAGTAGGGCGGCGGGGCCGCTGTAGTAGGGCGGCGGGGCCGCAGTAGTAGGGCGGCGGGGCCGCAGTAGTAGGGCGGCGGGGCCGCAGTAGTAGGGCGGTAGGAGCCGCGAGCAGGGCGGCGGGGCCGCTGAGAAGGGCGGCGGGGCCGCAGTGGAAGGGCGGCGGGGCCGCTGATTAGGGCGGCGGGGCCGCAGGGGAAGGGCGACGGGGCCGCTGATTAGGGCGGCGGGGCCGCAGTAGAAGGGCGGCCAGAGGCCGCTGAGTAGGGCGGCGGGGCCGCTGAGTAGAAGGGCGGCGGGGCCGCTGTCAAGGGCGGCGGGGCCGCTGAGAAGGGCGACGGGGCCGCCGAGTAGAGCGGGGCCGCAGAGTAGGGCGGCGGGGCCGCTGAGACGGGCGGCGGGGCCGCAGTGCAGGGCGACGGGGCCGCCGAGACGGGCGGGGCCGCAGCGACGGGCGACGGGGCCGCTGAGACGGGCGGCGGGGCCGTAGTGCAGGGCGACGGGGCCGCTGCGACGGGCGGCGGGGCCGTAGCGCGGGGCGACGGGGCCCGCGAAGAAGGGCGGCGGGGCCGCAGAGACGGGCGATAGGGCCGCACTGAAGGGCGGCGGGGCCGACTCGACGGGCGGCAGAGCCGCTAGGGCGTAGGAGCCGCTAGGGCGGCTCGACGAGGTAAGAGCCCGGAGCGCGACTCGGGCGGAGCGCGCTTCGGGCAGGAAAAAAAAAAGAGAAATCGATGTGGTGGGCCCTAGGCACAGTTCCCACGGGGGAACCTGCTCGATACCATGAGGGAATGAGAACGAGAATGATACACTAAGGAATGGAAGTGATACAAATATGCAACCCTAGAACTGTGTACCCCATATGGGCTACCCCACTATAGCCTACAGAATATTATAGTTTGACACCTTGAACCTATCCGACCTATCTCTTGGCAATCGAGCTGTCAGAACATTATAGCTTATACATTTGTGTAGGTTGTAGTGGGGTAGCCCATAAGGGGTACAACCCAATTAGGGTTTGTACTTGTACCCAACTGTTTCATAGTTCATTCATCCATTCTCATTTCTCGTCATGGTATCGAGCAGGTTCCCGAGTGGGAATGCTGCCTGGGGCCCACCACAATTTTTTTTCCCCTGCCCGGAGCGCGCTTCACTCCTACCCGAGTAGCGCTTCGAGTGCCTTACCTACCCTCGAGTCGCCCTTAGTGGCCGCCCTTACGGCCCCTCGCGCCGCCTTCTCTAGCCCCTTACGGCCCCGCTTAGGCCCCTTACGGCCTCCCTCTACGCAGGGGCCATGGCTGCTCAGGAGCTTCGCTGGCTCACCTACCTGCTGACCGACCTTGGAGAGCCGCCTCGTTCTCCTCCAGTCCTGTACGTCGACAACAAGGCCATGCTGGCCTTGTGTCGGGAGCAGAGACTGGAGCACAGAACAAAGCACATTGCTCTCCGCTACTTCCTTGCTCGTGAGCTACAGCAGCGTGGTCAGTTGCGACTTGCGTACGTGGCCTCTGAGGCCAACATTGCTGATGTCTTCACCAAGGCACTTCCGCCTTGTGATCATCAGCGCTGCTGTACCCAGCTGGGTCTTGTGTCTGTCTTGCCTCACTTGCTCTCCTCTTGACCCTCTTTGTACTGTTACATATATATATCACTGCTCTTGAAATCACTTTTGAGTATTCTCAAAAGGGGTGGTGGTGAGGGTGAGTTTGGGGATGTTGAATTGAAATCACTTTTGAGTATTCTCAAAAGGGGTGGTGGTGAGGGTGAGTTTGGGGATGTTGAATTGAAATCACTTTTGAGTATTCTCAAAAAGGGGTGGTGGTGAGGGTGAGTTTGGGGGTGTTGAATTGAAATCATTTTTGAGTATTCTCAAAAGGGGTGGTGGTGAGGGTGAGTTTGGGGATGTTGAATTGAAATCACTTTTGAGTATTCTCAAAAGGGGTGGTGGTGAGGGTGAGTTTGGGGGTGTTGAATTGAAATCACTTTTGAGAATACTCAAAAGGGGTGGTGGTGAGGGTGAGTTTGGGGATGTTGAATTGAAATCACTTTTGAGTATTCTCAAAAGGGGTGGTGGGGAGGGTGAGTTTGGGGATGTTGAATTGAAATCACTTTTGAGTATTCTCAAAAGGGGTGGTGGTGAGGGTGAGTTTGGGGATGTTGAATTGAAATCACTTTTGAGTATTCTCAAAAGGGGTGGTGGTGAGGGTGAGTTTGGGGATGTTGAATTGAAATCACTTTTGAGTATTCTCAAAAGGGGTGGTGGTGAGGGTGAGTTTGGGGGTGTTGAATTGAAATCATTTTTGAGTATTCTCAAAAGGGGTGGTGGTGAGGGTGAGTTTGGGGATGTTGAATTGAAATCACTTTTGAGTATTCTCAAAAGGGGTGGTGGTGAGGGTGAGTTTGGGGGTGTTGAATTGAAATCACTTTTGAGTATTCTCAAAAGGGGTGGTGGGGAGGGTGAGTTTGGGGATGTTGAATTGAAATCACTTTTGAGTATTCTCAAAAGGGGTGGTGGTGAGGGTGAGTTTGGGGATGTTGAATTGAAATCACTTTTGAGTATTCTCAAAAGGGGTGGTGGTGAGGGTGAGTTTGGGGATGTTGAATTGAAATCACTTTTGAGTATTCTCAAAAGGGGTGGTGGTGAGGGTGAGTTTGGGGGTGTTGAATTGAAATCATTTTTGAGTATTCTCAAAAGGGGTGGTGGTGAGGGTGAGTTTGGGGATGTTGAATTGTGAGGGTGAGTTTGGGGATGTTGAATTGAAATCACTTTTGAGTATTCTCAAAAGGGGTGGTGGTGAGGGTGAGTTTGGGGATGTTGAATTGAAATCACTTTTGAGTATTCTCAAAAGGGGTGGTGGTGAGGGTGAGTTTGGGGATGTTGAATTGAAATCACTTTTGAGTATTCTCAAAAAGGGGTGGTGGTGAGGGTGAGTTTGGGGGTGTTGAATTGAAATCATTTTTGAGTATTCTCAAAAGGGGTGGTGGTGAGGGTGAGTTTGGGGATGTTGAATTGAAATCACTTTTGAGTATTCTCAAAAGGGGTGGTGGTGAGGGTGAGTTTGGGGGTGTTGAATTGAAATCACTTTTGAGAATACTCAAAAGGGGTGGTGGTGAGGGTGAGTTTGGGGATGTTGAATTGAAATCACTTTTGAGTATTCTCAAAAGGGGTGGTGGGGAGGGTGAGTTTGGGGATGTTGAATTGAAATCACTTTTGAGTATTCTCAAAAGGGGTGGTGGTGAGGGTGAGTTTGGGGATGTTGAATTGAAATCACTTTTGAGTATTCTCAAAAGGGGTGGTGGTGAGGGTGAGTTTGGGGATGTTGAATTGAAATCACTTTTGAGTATTCTCAAAAGGGGTGGTGGTGAGGGTGAGTTTGGGGGTGTTGAATTGAAATCATTTTTGAGTATTCTCAAAAGGGGTGGTGGTGAGGGTGAGTTTGGGGATGTTGAATTGAAATCACTTTTGAGTATTCTCAAAAGGGGTGGTGGTGAGGGTGAGTTTGGGGGTGTTGAATTGAAATCACTTTTGAGTATTCTCAAAAGGGGTGGTGGTGAGGGTGAGTTTGGGGGTGTTGAATTGAAATCACTTTTGAGTATTCTCAAAAGGGGTGGTGGTGAGGGTGAGTTTGGGGATGTTGAATTGAAATCACTTTTGAGTATTCTCAAAAAGGGTGGTGGTGAGGGTGAGTTTGGGGATGTTGAATTGAAATCACTTTTGAGTATTCTCAAAAAGGGTGGTGGTGAGGGTGAGTTTGGGGATGAGGGTGGGGGTGGGGTTTCCGCCAAGTGAACACATGAGGAGCACTTGAGAGCTCATCAGCATGGGTGCGCTTCCATCTATCCGTCTTCCTCTCACATGCCACACAGGTGATGGTGGTGAACGACTGTGCATACAGCACGCGCTTCTCAGCCAAGTGGACTCTCTTCTTCGACCTCGACGAGTTCTTCAACGCTGATGACCCGCCCCCACCCCAGAAGGTATGTCCTCATGGCGTGACAAGCTCTCTTCCAGTGAGCGATGCTACTCTGCCGAATGGACTCTCTTCTTTCATCTCGATGACTTGGTTCTTCAGCGCTGACGACCCACCCCCGCCCCAGAAGGTAACTACTCTCGCAGCATGGCATGCCTAGAAAGCCCCAACTTCCTGCCTTACCTGTAAGGCGGCCAGCCCCTCCCCCATTGGGGCTGTTGATACTCAGCCGAATGGACTTTCTTCTTCGATCAAAAGGTTGACTTTTGAGGCGCCTCAAAAGTCACCTCAGCCGAATGGACTTTTGTCTTTGATCCTGATGAATTCTTCAACGCTGATGACCCGCCCCCGCCACAGAAAGTACCCACCATGTCTATCGTTTTTCATGGTACGTTGCTGCCTGCCCCAAAAGGTACACCAGGAGTACTGGCACTGGCAGACTTCTGGGTGGCTTTTGAGTCGACTCAAAAGTCGCTGTTGAGGCGCCATAGAGTTGATGCCATGAAGCACTGTCGCCGGCAGCTGTAGCATGTCCAGTGAAGCGCAATACCCCTGCACGCACCACTGCACTCTGCTGCCCCGCCCCGCCCATACCCCCCGTCCCTTCTCCATATCACTCCCGTCCCGTCCTTCCTGCTTACTCCACCCAAGGCAGAAGGGAAGCTCGCTCACACCCATGTGCTGGCCTGGCCAGTGGCCACTCAGCTAGACGCTATGGCACACTGGCACCTGCAGCTGCCGTGGGTGGACAGGAGTGCTGGTGGTATCCACCCAATGCCCATACACACACCTCTTTACTCCTCTATCCCCCTCTTCCCGTTATCAGGTGGAAGGGAAGCTCACACGCATGTGCTGACCACTCAGCTAGACGCTATGGCACACTGGCACCAACAGCTGTGATGGTTGCACTGAAACTCAATGCCCATGCACGACAATGCCTTATGCCCTCCGTATCATACCCCAGGTTGAGGCCCACACCCAAGTGCTGGCCACACAGCTAGATGCAATGGAGCACCGGCACTGGCAGCTGTCGCGGCTGCACGCATTGGTGGTGACTGCACCCTCGCAGTACCCATGCACGCACCACCCGACTCCTCTATCCCCATTTTTTCCTTATCTAGGTTGAAGCTCACACCCACGTGTTAGCCACACAGCTAGATGCCATGGAGCACTGGCCCTGGCAGCTGTGACTGCTGGACTGGAATGGTGGTGGTACAGCAGTCACAGCTGCCGGTCCCAATGCCCATGCACACGCCTCTTTGCTCCTCTACCCCCGTCGTCCCCTCAACTAGCTCACACCCACGTTTTAGCCATACAACTCGATGCCATGGCACTGGCAGCTACCGTGGCTGCAGTGACACACGATGCCCGTACAATCACGCTCTTGCTCCTGTGCCCCCTTCCATTCTCTATCTCACCCCAGGTGGAGGCTCACACCCACGTGTTAGTCACACAGCTAGACGCCATGGAGCACTGGCAGCGGCAGCTGTCGCGGCTGCAGTGGAGCGGTGGTACCTACCCTCCCAATGCTCCCCCTCATACTCCCCCTTGCTCCCGTTACCCCGATTTCCCTTATCTAGGTTGAGGCCCACACTCACGTGCTGGCCACACAGCTAGACGCCATGGAGCACTGGCACCGGCAGCTGTCGCGGCTGTAGTGATGGCACCCAACAACCCATTGCCCATACGCTCACTCCTTGCTCCTGTGTTCCCATACCCCCCGTCCTCCCCTTATCTAGGTTCAAACTTCAAGGCCACACCCACATGCTGGCCACGCAGCTAGACGCCATGGAGCACTGGCACCGGCAGCTGCAGCGGCTGTAGTGATGGCACCCATCCAGTGTTGCTCCTGTGTTTCCCCCACACTGTAGGTGGAAGCCCACACCCACGTGTTGGCCACACAACTAGACGCCATGGAGCACTGGCACCGGCAGCTGTCCTGGCTCCTGTGCCCCGCCCAAATCCAACCCCCATTTGTTCCTCTGTTCCGCCGTACTCTAGGTGGAAGCCCACACGCATGTCTTGGCCACACAACTAGACGCCATGGAGCACTGGCACCGGCAGCTGCAGCGGCTGCGGAAGCGGTTCGCGCGGGAGAGAAGGATGGAGCCGAGACGACAGAGGGAGATGGAGGAGGAAGAGGAGGAGAAGTGGGAGGATAAGGAAGGGGAGCGGAGGCATGGACGGGAAGGAAAAAGGGGAAAGGAAGTGGGGACGGGTTGGGATGGGATGGATGCGAGGAGGTGGATTGAAGTAGAGGGGGAGGATGAGGGGGATGAGGAAGCGGAGCTTGAAGGAGGGGAGGTAGGAGCAGGAGGAGTTTCAGGTGGAGGCTCAGGTAAAAACAACAGAGAAGCGTCAGCAGCAGTAGGAGCGGCAGGAGCCGCAGCAGTGGCAAAGGCGGCAGGGCAAGGGCTTGCGCACCGAACACGCATCTCTTTGGAGCAAAGACGGGCAGCAGAGCAGGCAGAGGAAGCAAACAACAGGCAAAACAGCACAAAAATCGGGAAAGAAACCGCAAAGGCTCGGCAACAGCGCGTAGCACGGCAGATGAGGGAGCAATACAGGAAGCTCCGAGCGCGGAGAAAAGAGGACGAGACGGAGGAGGAGAAGGAGAAGCTTCCTGGGGAGGCGGAGCAGCAGCGGCACCTGCAGCAGCAGGAGGCGGAGCAGCAGAGTCAGATGGAGGTGATTCGCGCATACAGGGAGCATCTGAAGCGCACTGCAGGCGACCAGAGGCTCATTCCGCTCGTGCTCGAGTCGTATGACGGCGCCTCGTACCTGTCGCTTGGCACCCTGTGGTGGGACACCGAGAGGTGGGTGGATTGTCGGAGGGTAATGTAGGCCCCCTCTCATGCCTCCCCATATGCCTCCTCTCATCCCGCTCGTGCTGGAGTCGTATGACGGCGCGTCGTACCTGTCGCTGGGCACCCTGTGGTGGGACACTGAGAGGTGAGCTGCTCGTCTCAGTATAGGTGTCTCAGCCTCCTTCCAGTTGAGAGGTGGCGACTAGAGGCTCATTCCACTCGTGCTCGAGTCGTACGATGGGGCGTTGTAACTGTTGCTGGGGACTCTGTGGTGGGACACTGAGAGGTGGGTGGATTGTGGGGGGGTATTGTCTTTCTCCTATCATTCCGCTCGTGCTGGAGTTGTACGATGGGGCGTCGTACCTGTCTCTTGGCACCCTGTGGTGGGACACTGAGAGGTGAGAGAGGGTCTTGTGTGGGGGTGCTGTACCCTTCTTCGCATGCCTCCTCCCATTCCGCTCATGCTCGAATCGTATGATGGCGCGTCGTACCTGTCTCTTGGCACCATGTGGTGGGACACTGAGAGGTGAAAGAGGGTCTTGTGTGGGGGCGCTGTACCCTTCTTCGCATGCCTCCTCCCATCCCGCTCATGCTCGAATCGTATGATGGCGCGTCGTACCTGTCTCTTGGCACCCTGTGGTGGGACACTGAGAGGTGAGAGAGGGTCTTGTGTGGGGGCGCTGTACCCTTCTTCGCATGCCTCCTCCCATTCCGCTCATGCTCGAATCGTATGATGGCGTGTCGTACCTGTCTCTTGGCACCCTGTGGTGGGACACTGAGAGGTGAGAGAGGGTCTTGTGTGGGGGCGCTGTACCCTTCTTTGCATGCCTCCTCCCATTCCGCTGATGCTCGAATCGTATGATGGCGTGTCGTACCTGTCTCTTGGCATCCTGTGGTGGGACACTGAGAGGTGAGAGAGGGTCTTGTGTGGGGGCGCTGTACCCTTCTTCGCATGCCTCCTCCCATTCCGCTCATGCCCGATTCGTATGATGGCGCGTCGTACCTGTCTGTTGGCACCCTGTGGTGGGACACTGAGAGGTGAAAGAGGGTCTTGTGTGGGGGCGCTGTACCCTTCTTCGCATGCCTCCTCCCATCCCGCTCATGCTCGAATCGTATGATGGCGCGTCGTACCTGTCTCTTGGCACCCTGTGGTGGGACACTGAGAGGTGAGAGAGGGTCTTGTGTGGGGGCGCTGTACCCTTCTTCGCATGCCTCCTCCCATTCCGCTCATGCTCGAATCGTATGATGTGTTAGTAGAGAGAGAATTGATACATTGAATAATGAGCCAAGAGGCTCTTTAGTACAAACAATGAGCAAGAGAGAGATGAGAGGGAAGCTTACCCTATTGGCCAATAAGTTGGCCAATGGGTGAGCTTGCTTGTGACCCAAGCAACCACAAATGTGTGTTGGTTGGGATTGGTTGAGCTAAGGACCAATCCCAACCAACCACAAAATGTGGTTGGAGGGTACACTAAGCAACCCCCCAATTTATAAATGTGCTACACTTCTAGCCTATGTATGTTGTATGAAATATGAAATTACAACACAACCCCCCAACATGCATAAGGCTAGAAGGCTAAAATCAAGAGGCGGGAGGCAACTTAGGAGGAGTGAGGCCAAGAAGACGAAGTAAGAAAGAGTGAGCGGCATGAGGAAGAGCTTTTGTGAAGATGTCGGCAAGGTTGGCCGCCGAGTCAACCTTGTCGAGGCGAAGGTGCCTCGCCTGAACAAGATCGCGAATGAAGAAATGACGGAGCTCAATGTGCTTGGAGCGCCCGTGAAACATAGCATCTTTGGTGAGGTGAATGGTACTAGCATTGTCACACCAAATTGTGGGACAGCGCTGGGGGGCACCAAGTTCCTCAAGAAGGAAGGTGAGCCAGCGGGCCTCTTGCGCAGCCATGGTGGCGGCATACAATTCCGCCTCGCAGGAGGAGAGGGCTGCAGCCGAGGAGCGGGTGGAGCGCCAGCTGATAAGGCCGCTGCCAAGAGAGAAGCCATAGCCCTGGGAGGAGCGACGATCTGGCCGGGAATCAGCCCAGGAGGAGTCACTGTAGCCGCTGAGAAGATGTGGGGAGGGGCCGCCAAGGGTAAGGACATAGTCCTTGGTGCCACGAAGGTACCGGAGGACACGCTTGGCGGCCTGCCAGTGCTCTTCCGTATGCTTGCCTGCGCCAACAAAACGAGCGAGGACGCTGATGGGGTAGGCAAGGTAAGGGCGAGTGGAGACCATGGCGTACATGAGGGAGCCGATGAGCTCGGGATAAGGATGGGAAGAGGCTGAGGGGGAGGTGGGTGGAGAGAGGTGGTGCCGGACAGAAAGAGGTGTAGGTTGGGCGCCGCCGCGGGCCATGTCAAACCGCTCCAAGACCTGCTGCAAGTAATGACCCTGGGAGAGTGAGATGGTGCGGGCGGAGCGGTCACAAGTGATGGTCATGCCCAGATAATGCTGCAGCTCTCCCAAGTCTTTGCATTTGAGACGGGTGCCCAACTCAGCCTTAACATGCACCAACTCTCCAAGGTCGGCAGTGAGCAGAATCATGTCATCGACATACACAAGGATGTAAAATGGGGAGGGGGAGGTGCGGAGGAAGAGGCTGGCATCAGAGCGGGAGGTGCGGAACCCAAGTTCAGCAAGGGTGGCGGCAAGTTTAGCATGCCACTCCCTCGGGGCCTGTCGAAGCCCATACACCGGTCGACGCAGCTGCCAGTCAGAGGCTGCTGGGAAGGGGAGGTGAAAGCCGGTTGGACGCTCCATGTAGATAAGCTCGCGGAGGACGCCTTGTAGGAAGGCGTTAGAAACGTCCATCGAGTGGATCTCCATATTGAGGCGAGCGGCGAGGTCGAGCACGGCGCGAACAGTAGTAGGCTTGGCAGTAGGGGAGAAGGTATCGAAGAAGTCAAAACCATACCGCTGCGTGAACCCCTTGGCGCAGTAACGAGCCTTATAAACGGGCGGCTCCCCTGGCAGCTGCTTGACGCGAAACACCCACTTTCCTTTCACCACGTTCGTAGGGGCGGGAGGGCGAGGCACATCGACAAAAGAGGAGTTGCCGATAAAGGCCTCCAGCTCCTTGATGATGGCGGCGAGCCATAGCGGAGCGTCAGGGCACGCCATTGCCTCCTCGTACGTGGTAGGAACGAAAATGGAGGGAGCAGAGGAGAAGGCGAAGACAGGTGTGCCAGAGAGGTCGAACGTGATGGGTAGAAGCGAGGGGTCATAAATGTGGAGGTCAAGGAACTCTTCATGGGAGTCCTCAGAGAGAAAGGTGTGGAAGGCGCGGATGACTGCTGGTGCCGCTGCTGGTGCTGCTGGTGGAGGCGTTGCCGGTGCCGGTGCTGGTACTGCTGCTGGTGCCGCTGCTGGTGCCGCTGCTGGTGCCGCTGCTGGTGCCGTTGCTGGTGCCGCTGCTGGTACTGTTGCTGGTACTGTTGCTGGTGCTGCTGCTGGTGCCGCTGTTGGTGCCGCTGCTGGTCCCGCTGCTGCTGCCGATGCCGCTCCCGCTGCTGCTGCCGCTGCTGGTCCTGCTGCTGCTGCGGCTGCTGGCGCTGCTGCTGCTGCCGCTGCTGGTCCTACTGCTGGTGCCGCTGCTGGAGAGGAGGTGGCTGAGGGGGCTGTTGCATGAGGGGCTTGATGCAAGACAGCCTGGAAGAAGTGACGGAGGAGGGGGGAGAGAGGGGGGAGGGTAGAGGTAGAGAGGGTAACGGGAGGCGGTGCACCAAGGATACCGTCACGTGACCTGGTGTGGGGATATCGGGTGAGTATGGTGCGGGAAGGGGGAGGACGGGTTGGTGGCGAGGGAGAGGAAGGGGGGGGGGGAGGGGTACTAGGAGAGGAGTGAGCGGGGGAGACCGGAGAAGACAGAGGTTCCGGGTCAAAGATGTCACCAGAAGAGGGAGGGGCACCATGGGACTGGGACGGCGGAGAAGGGGGGGGTGGGAGGATGGGGGGAGGAGGGAGTAGTGGGGGAGGGGTGGTGTCAGACCAGACAAGGGGACGGGTGAGAGGGGGGAGTG